GAAGGGATTGCGGCGTGGCCGTCCCCCCGGGGGGTGATTTCTCGCTTTCTATCTCTCTGTCTCTTTCTGTCTGTCTGGCGAGTGCACACGCCCTATAGCAAAAACCTCTAAAAATAAAATAAAATAAAAAACAAACAAAAAACTTAAACCAGGGACCAACAAATGGCATAATGGCTACATCACTGGACACCCATGGAGTCGACCGAGGTTCAAGTCCTGGAACAGGTGGCTTAAACTCACGCAGGGCACATATCCGTGCATGTCCAAGATCCTGAGAGGAGAAAGGAGAAGAGATTGCGACATGGCCATCCTCTTGGGGGGTGATTTCCCACTTTCTGTCTCTCCGTCTCTCTGTCTTTCTGGTGAATGCATGCACCCTATAGCAAAAGCCTCTCTAAAAAAATTATTTAAAACCATACTGTCTGTGATCCCCGGGCGTTGAACACTGTCGGGGCTAGAGAGACCTAAAGATTAGATTGTAAGACAAGAAAATAGAAGTCATGTTTTGAAGACTTGTATTACAGGTACTTTGTCAGTTTGTAAGACATGAATCTGAAGTGGCTAGCAGTTTGATTCTTGAAAGATCTCTGAACTGTGTGCAGTTACTTGGGCGAGTGGGTCAGGACCCTGTCTTGAAACAGGTGGAAGGAAATCCAGTCACAATATTTTCTTTGGCAACAAATGAGATGTGGAGATCAGGGGACAATGAAGTATACCAAATGGGTGATATCAGTCAAAAGACAACATGGCACAGAATATCAATACTCTGGCAAGGTCTCAGAGATGTGGCCTATCGGTATGTGAAAAAGGGATCTCGAATTTATGTGGAAGGGAAAGCAGACTATGGCGAATAAAAGGATAAAAATAATGTGAGGCGACAGACAACAACAATCATAGCTGATAACATTGTATTTCTGAGTAAGCAGACGAAAGAGAAGGTGTAGAATGATTCTCCTTTGGCCATTGCTTGGTAGTCTCATTTCCAAATCAAGTATAGTCTATAATTTCTGAGGACAAGAATTAAAGTACTCTTTTATATTAAAAAAACTTTAAATAAATAAAACCATACTGTCTGTTAGAGAGTCAAATAAAATCATAACAAATATTTTGATAATTATCTTTAAATTTACTTTCTTGAAATTTCTTAAGTTGTTTATTAACTGTCAAGAACTATAGGATATGGGACCGGCAAGTGGCGTGGTAGCTGAAAGTGTTGGACTCCCACATGGCTGACCGTGGTTCGAGTCCCGGACCTGGCAGCTTGCTTTCTCACTTTCTCTCTCACTCTTACTCTTTCTCTCAATAGTCAAATTAAAAATAAATGAATAAATAAAGTCAAATAAAATAATTTTTTAAAAAGGAACTATAGGGAATGAGCAAATTTTTTTGATATGTAAAGTAAATCTTTGTGGGGAAAATGCAAAAATAAATAAATGTCAAAAAAAAAAGAAAAAAGGGAACCAGCAGTTAGCGTAATGGCTATGTCGCTGGACTCCCACGTAGTCGACCGCGGTTCGCGTCTCGGACCCGGTGGCTTAAATCTCACGCTGGGCGTGTGTGCGTGCGTGCCCAAGATCCCGAGAGGAGAATGGAGGAGAAGGGATTGCGGCGTGACCATCCTCCCTGGGGGGTGATTTCTCGCTTTCTGTCTCTATGTCTCTCTCTGTCTGGCGAGCGCACGCGCCCTATAGCGAAAACCTCTCCAAAAAAAAAGAAAAAAGATGCTGGACCTCCTCCCCCCCTTCTTTCTTTCCCACCCCCCCACATGGCCAACCATTACTGGAGTACTAGACCTGGCAACTTAAAAATCACATCAAGCGACCAGCAGGTGACTTAATAGTTATGTTGCTAGACTCTCACATGGCTGACCACAGTCTGAGTCATGGACCTCACAGATTGAAACTTACACCCAGCACGTGTACATGCCCAAAATCTCGAGAGGAAAATGGAGAAGGGATTGTGACGTAGCCATCTCCCCAGGGAGTGACTGTTCGCTTTCTATCTGTCTGTCTATCTCTCTGGCAAGAGCACACACACCCTATACCAAAAATCTCTCTCTAAAAAAAAAAAAAAAAAAACACACATCAGGTATATGTAAATGCATGCCCAAAATCCCAAGAGGAGACAACAGAGAAGGGAATGTGGCACAGCCATCCCTCTTGGGGAAGACTATCTTACTTTCCTTCTTTCTGTCTCTATCTCTCTGGTGAGTCCACATGCCCTATAGCAAAAACTAAAAAAAAAAAAAAGGAAACAAAATACAAACCAAGCTACAAAAGCCATTTAGGGACCACTAGGCTACTTGATATTACTATCGTTATTACTGCTACCGATATAATCATATTAAAAATCAATTCTAGGGAACCAGCAGTTAGCATAATGGCTATGTCGCTGGACTCCCACATAGTCGACCGTGGTTCACGTCCCGGGCCAGGTGGCTTAAAACTCACGCCGGGCGCGTGTGCGTGCATGCCCAAGATCCTGAGAGGAGAATGGAGAAGGGATTGCGGCGTGACCATCCCCCCTGGGGGGTGATTTCTCGCTTTCTGTCTCTATGTCTCTCTCTGTCTGGCTGGCTGGTGAGCGCACGCGCCCTACAGCAAAAAAAAATCAATTCTAAATTTGTCACAGTGATGGAGGTATTATGACAATATAAAAAAAATGTTCTTAATGGGGCCGGCAGGTGACATGGGGGTTAAAGGTACTGGGCTCCCACATGGCTGACCGTGGTTTGGATCCCAGACCTGGAGGCTTGCTTTCTCACTCTCTCTCTTGTTCTTGCTCTGTCCCTCTCTGGTCAAATCAAAATGGATAAATAATTATTTTTAAAAAATGTTATTAACAATTGATAAGATCCATTCCTATAGCCCAGTAGTTAAGGGAGGTGGATCTCACATAGCTGACCACAAGGTTTGAACTATGCACCTGCAGCTATAAAAACACATAGGACGCATGTGCATGTGTGCCCCAAATCAATCTCAACAAGATGGAGAAACAGAGAAGGGATTGTGGTACAACCACACCCCATTGGAGGGGTTTCTGCATACAAGCAAGCAAATTCACTGACAATCAAATTGAAACTGGTGAATCTAGATTATATTAATATTACTATTATTTTTCTAATATTTTTCTGTAAGTACTAAAATTGTGTTATATTGTATTTATTCCTTTTCTTTTTTAAATTTGCTATAGGACATATGTGCTTACCAGAAAAAGAAAGAGAGGGGGATAGTGAGAAAGCAAGCCACCAAGGTTTGAGATTGAATTGCAGTTGGCCCTGTGGGAGCCCACGCCACCAGTTATCCTCAGTATTAAAAAATTTTAACATAAAAATTTAGAAAAAAAAATTCTTATTTTTAAAAACTTTAATCAAAATTAGACTTATCAATGAACTAATGAGAAAATAAGGGTTTTTTTTTTTAATTTTTAATAAGGGACCAGCAGTTGGTGTAATGGCAATGTTGCTGGACTCCCATGGAGTTGACCACGGTTCAAGTCTCAGATCTGGCAGCTTAAATTCGTGCCAAGTGCATGTGCGTGCCCAAGATTCAGAGAGGAGAATGGAAGAGAAGGGACTGCAGTGTGGCCATCCCTCCTGGAGGGTGATTTCTTACTTTTTGTCTCTCTGTCTCTCTCTGTCTTTCTGGTGAACGCACGCGACCTATAGCAAAAACCTCTCCAAAAAAAAGTTACTAGGGCTCAATTTGTAATTCTCTCCGTAATACCTAAATGTGGACATTTCTCCTGGAAACCAAACATCAAAGGCACTTACTACTCATAAGAGCATTCTGGAGCTGCATTCTGGTGCTAGTCCCATGGCCTAGTGATTGAGAGAGCTGGATTCCACAAAACCATCTGTTCAGTTCAAGTCCCAGACCTGGTGGCTTGAAAATCATGCCAGGTGTGTGCGCCTACTACCCCAAACACAAAGGAATGATGTTAGAGAAGGGACTTCAGCGTGACCTAGTGCCACTAGAGTGCTTTCTACCTTCCTCCTCTCTCAGGTGAGTGTACAACCAATCTGAGTAGACATTTGTTTGTTTAAATTTCTTTTTTTTTTGGAGAGGTTTTTGCTATAGGGCGCGTGCGCTCGCCAGACAGAGAGAGATATAGAGACAGAAAGCAAGAAATCACCCCCCTGGGGGGATGGTCACGCTGCAATCCCTTCTCCTCCATTTTCTTCTCGGGATCCTAGGCATGCACGCACACACGCCCGGCGTGAGTTTTAAGCCACCGGGTCCGGGACATGAACCACGTTCGACTATGTGGGAGTCCAGTGACATAGCCATTACGCTAACTGCTGGTTCCCTTGTTTAAATTTCTTTTAAAAGAATTATGTATTTAATTTTTTTTGTTCAAGTAGTCTAAACAAAGTTTAAATTTAGAAAATGTGTTGGGACCAGTAGATGACATAGTGGTTACGTCACTGGACTCCCACATGACCAACCACAGTTCAAGCCCCAGATCCAGTGGCTTGAAATTCACACCGGGCATGTGTGCATGCGTGCCCAAAATCCCAAGAAAGTAGAGAAGGGACTGCAGCATGGTCGTCCCCCCGGAGGTGATCTCTTGCTTTCTGTCTGTCTCTGTCTCTTCCGCAAGTGTACATGCCCAATAGCAAAAATCTAAAAAAAAAAAAAAATACACACACACACACACACACACACACACAGAAAATGTGGGCCGGCAGGTAGTATGGAGATTTTAGGGTACTGGATCCCATGTGGCCAACTGTATGGTTTGAGTCCTGGACCTAGAACCTTGAAGAACACATGTATGCATGCATGTGAACCCTGAATCCTGAGAGGAGTGGAAGAAAAGGGATTGCTGCGTGGCCATCTGCCTTGGAGGGTGATTTCTCACTTTCTCTCTCTGTCTCTCTTCCCCTCTCCTCCCTTAGCAAGTACATATATATTTGCCCTACAGAAAAACTAAAAAAAAAGAAAATATATTACATTTAAGTTGAGGGTTAGTTTCTTTTAGTTAACTATGGGACTTACCTATCCATGTCATCGTCTCCAGGTAGTAAGGGTGGCAGAGGCAGAGGAGGCAATGTTGAAGTTTTCAGGTGTGGAATAGCAGCTGTTACAGACACTTGAGACTTCACAGAAACCTGTACAGGAGGCTGAGAATTTGCCTGAGAGGATAGAGCAGATGTCCTTGGGTAAGTAGAAGGGGGCAAACTTGAAGTACTGGAAACAGGAACCTGACTAAATGTTGGCTGAGGAGGAGGCAGAGGTGGTTGCTGTGGAACAGTTGGTAAAGGAGGCAAAGGTGGCAAAGGGGGTGTCTGAGGTGGAGGGGTAGAAGTTGGTAAAGGGGGTGGAGAAGTAATTGTGGAAAGAGGTGGAGGGGTCTCCTTTTCTGATGTCTCTGTCTCCTTTGGAGTAACAATCTCCTCTTTCAATGCTACAGGTTTAGAGTCTCTTGTTCCCTGTGCTTTCAAATCTTTAAGAACAGGATGCTTTTCAGAGTTTTCATCCAACCTTACTTTTCCTGTATCTAAAGAATTTTTGACCTCTGTGTTTGGATGTGTTACATTCACCGGTTCAGTATCTGGAACAGATTTTTCCAATTTTATACCTCTGGATAACTTTTTAGGCTCCAAGCCTGAATCCTTAGCCTCTACTGAACTGTTGTCTTTTTTAGGCAAAAATATGGGTGAACCTTTGGATTCCTTTCCATCCATTTTTGCTGCTGCAGCAGCAGCTGCTCTTTCCTTCTTTTTCCTACTGAGTTCAGCTCCCAGGCTGGAATTCAAAGGAAGCCTGACAGGTGAAATACTGGAATGACGACTACGTGACCCAGATCTCTTCTTTTTACTATGAGAAGATGAGTGTCTTGAATATGCAGGACTTCTACTTCTGGACTTCATGGATTTTCTACTGGAAAAAAAGGAAAAAGGCAGTTTAAAATGCACAGGCTATATTAACATATGAGGAAAAAACAGATCAGCAAAACAAACTATAGAGAACTGAAACTTTAAAACTCATATTAAGGGGCTAGCAAGTACCATGGTAGTTGAGACCCTAGACTCCCACATGGCCAACCATGGCTTAAGTCCCGGACCTGAGGATAGCTTTCTCACTGTTTCTTTCTCTGTGTCTCTCCCTGGTCAAATTAAAAAATATTAACAATAATAAGTAAAATTAAATAAATAATTATTTAAATATAATAAAATTGGGGCTGGGAGGTGACATGGCGGTTAATAGCGCTGGACTCTCACATGGCCAACTGTGGTTCAAGTTCTGGACCTGGCAGCTCACTTTCTTACTTTCCCTCTCAGGCTCTATCCTTTTCTGATAAAATGAAATAAATTTAAATAATTCTTTAAAAAATAAAATAAAATAAAACCATTTTTGAGAAGGGACCAGCGGATGGCATGGTGACTAAGGTGTTGGACTCCAACATGGCTAAATAGTTTCAATCCTGGACCTGACGGTTTCCTCTCTCTCTCTCTGGTGAGTGCACATTCCCTACAGCTAATTTTAAAAAATAATAATAAATAAAATTAAGTAGATAATTCTTTTAAAAGAAATTTGAAACAAACAAACAACAACAAAAAACATTTTCAGGAGGCCAACAAGTGGCATGGTAGTTAAGGCACTGGACTCCCATGTGGTTGAACACAGCTGAGTCTTGGGACCAGCAGTTAACATAATGGCTATGTCGCTGAACTCCCATGTAGTCACCCACAATTTGAGTTCTGGACCCAATGACTTAAAATCATGTCGGGTGCGTATGCGTGCATGTCCAAGATCCCGAGGGGAGAATGGAGGAGAAGGGACTGCAGCATGACAATCCCCCTGGGGGGATGATTTCTCACTTTCTGTTTCTCTGTTTTTCTCTGTCTTTCTGGAGAGCGCACACATGCTATAGCAAAAACCTCTCCAAAACAACAACACAAAGAAGTAATCCAATCCACTATTTATTCAGTTGAAAAAAGACAAATCAATACTCTTCACTCCCTCATAGTGGAAAAGGAATAGCCATATTTACAACGATTATTGTCAGGATTCTGATTTTAATCTTTGACAAAAAATCATACTTTATATTGGGACCAGCAGTTAGCGTAATGGCTATGTCGCTGGACTCCCATGTAGTCGACCGCAGTTCGCATCCTGGACCCATGGCTTGAAACTCACGCCGGGCACTTATGCGTGTGTGCCAGGATCCCGAGAGGAGAATGGAGGAGAAGGGATTGCAGTGTGGCCATCCCTCCTGGGGAGTCATTTCTAGCTTTCTGTCTCTAGGTCTCTCTCTGTCTGTCTGGCAAGCGCACAGGCCCTATAGCAAAAACCTCTAAAAAAAAAAGAAAAGAAAAAAAATTGTACTTTATAGTAAGCTAGAAAATGGAAAGTCACTAGCATGCTGGAGCTACAAGGTGGCGTGGTGGTTAGGACTCTCACATGGCCAACCACAGTCGAAACCAAGACCTAGAAGCCTGAAAATCACAAGGGAAACATGTGTAGGTGTGCCCAAAATTTCAAGAGAATGGAGAAGGGGGCCGACAGGTGGTACAGTGTTTGAAGGTGCTGGACTCACACATGGCTCACTGCAGTTAAAGTCCCGGACCTGATGGCTTGCTTTCTCACTTTCCCTCTCTCTTTCTCTGTCTCTCTATGATCAAACTGGAAAACAGTAATAGTAATACTAAAGTGAAATTAAATAATTCTTGAGGCCAGCAGAGACGTGGTGGCTAAAGGCACTAGATTCTCACATGGCTAGCTGCGGTCTGAGTTCCAGACCTGGCGGCTTGCTTTCTTGCTGTCCCTTTCTCTCTCTCTCTCTCCCTTTCTGTCTGGTCAAATTAAAAAATATCAAATGGAATTAAATATTTTGGAGAGGCTTTTGCTATTGGGCACTTGCACTTGCAAGAAAGACAGAGACAGAAAGCGAGAATCACCCCCCAGGGGAGATGGCTACATTGCAATCCCTTCTCCTCCATTTTCCTCTAAGGATCTTGAGCACGTAGGCACACACACCTGCCCGGTATGAGTTTAAGCCACCAGGTCCAGGACTCAAACCACAGTCAACTACATGGGAGTCCAGCAACATAGCCATTACGTCAACTGCTGGTCCCTTTTTTAAAAAATTCTTTAAAACTTAAGGGGAAAAAGTGGTGAAGGGATTTGCAGTGCAGCATCCCTCCCCGCGAGGGGTAATTTCTTACTTTCTCTAGCTCTGTCTCCAGCGAGCACTTGCATGCTAGAGAAAAAAATCTAAAAAGTAGATATTTGTCCAAAACCTTAATATTTTTTGAGAGATTTTTGTTTTGCTATAGGGCACATGTAATAACTGGAGAGAGAGACAGAAAGCGAGAAATTACCCCCATGGGGGATGAGTACTCTGCAATCTCTTCTCCTCCATTCTCCTGGGATCTTGGACACTCATGCACATGTGCCCAGTATGAGTATGAAGCTTCCAAATCTGGGAATCGAACTGTGGTCAGCCATGTGGGAGCCCAGGGACGTAACTGCTCTGCCTTGTGCTGGTCCCAAGCCTAAACTTTTTTTTTTCTTTTTTTAAGAATTACTTTATTCATGGGGGACCAGCAATTAGCGTAATGGCTATGTCACTGAACTCCCCTGGAGCTGATCGCGGTTCGAGTCCCAGACCTGGTAGCTTAAACTCATGCCAGGCGCATGTACGTGCATGCCTAAGATCCCACTGCGACTGCAGCGTGGCCATCCCCCCAGGGGATGATTTCTCGCTTTCTATCTCTCTGTTTCTCTGTCTTTCTGGCAAGCGCACACGCCACACCCCCTATAGCAAAAACCTCTCAAAAAAAAAAAAAAAAGAATTACTTTATTTAACTGTATTTATTTATTTATTTTAGTTTGACCAGAGAGGGACAAAGTGAAAGAGAGAGAGAGGGAGGGAAACTGAGAAAGCAAGCTACCGGGTCCAGGACTCAAAGTGCAGTCGGCCATGTGGGAGTCCCATACCCTTAACCATCAGGTCACTTGTCAATTCCCCAAACTTAAACTTTCATAACTAAAGAGCTATTTAATGAGTAGATCCCAGGTAAATATATATGTGTTTTAAAGAATTATTTTATTTAACTTCACTTATTTATTTTTTAATTTGACCAGAGAGTGAGAGTGAAAGAGAGGGAGAGAAGGACAGGCAAACAGTGAAAAAGCAAGCTGCCAGGTCCAGATTCAAATTGCAGTCAGTCATGTAGGAGGCCAGTGCCCTTAACCACTATGCCACCTGCCAGCCCCGGGAAAACATACTCTTCACATCTCCATGTTATAATTTACTTGTGTCCATTCTTCTTATTTTTGTTGTTTCCTTTTCTAAGAGGTTTTGGCTTAGAGTGTGTGCACTCACTGAAAATAGACAGAGACAATGAGACAGAAAGTGAGATATCACCCCCTGGGGGATGGCCATGCTTCAAACCTCTCTCCTCCATTGTCCTCCCAGGATCTTGGGCACGCACTCACATGTGCCCAGTGTGAGTTTCAAGCCACTGTTTTCAATCCAGTTCTAGGACTGGAACCACAGTCAGCCGTGTGGGAGTTCAGAGACATAACCCCTAGGCCATTTGCTAGTCCCATGGCCATTCTAAAGAAACTTCCAACATACAAGACTTAGGATTTATAAAACAGACATATTGGAATAAATATTTTATCAAAATAATTCATTGTAAGTTCTCAAAAATATGATGAATCCTAGCACTTTTTGTAAAAATTTATTTTATTTTATTTTTTAATTTGACCAGAGACAGAAAGAGAGAGAAAGTGAAAAAGCAAGCTATCAAGTCTAAGACTTGGGAACCAGCAGTTAGCGTAATGGCTGTGTCGCTGGACTCCCAAATAGTCTACCGCGGTTCGCGTCCTGGACTCGGTGGCTTAAAACTCACACCGGGCGCATGTGCATGTGTGCCCAAGATCCTGAGAGGAGAATGGAGGAGAAGGGATTGCAGCGTGGCCATCCCCCCTGGGGGGGTGATTTCTCGCTTTATGTCTCTCTGTCTCTCTCTGTCTGTCTGGCGAGCGCATGTGCCCTATAATGAAAAAAACCTCTCCAAAAAAAAAAAAAAAGTCTAAGACTTGAACTGCAATCGGCCTTGTAAATCTAGCACCTTAACCACCATGCCAGCACCCCCAGATACTTATAACATAATTTCTATAAATATTTTTAGAATTATTTTATTTAACTTTACTTATTTATTTTAATTTGCCCATAGAGAGATACAGTGAGAGAGAGAGAGAGAAAGTGAAAAAGCAAGCCACCAGGTCTGGGACTCAAACCATAGTCAGCCATGTGGGAGTCCAGTGCACATAACCACCATGCCACTTTCTGGCCCCCATAATTTCTATCAATTTTTAACAACTCATAAAAACAAGATATTACTACATGTTCAATTACTTTTCCTCATAAAAAATGGATTGGACAGGTGTGGATTAGTGTGGTAGTTAAGGCACCATAGTGGTTAAGGCACTGGACTCTCACATAGCCAACTGTGGTTCAAGTCCCAGACCTGATAACTTGGTTTCTTACTTTCTCTGTCTCTCTCTCTGGTGAGCACACATGCCCTACAGTAAATTTAATAATAATAATAGTAATAAAAAATAGAATAAATATTTAAGATAAAAAAAGATGGGAAGGCAGCAGGTGGTGTAGCCATTAAAGTGCTGGACTCCCATATGGCTGATTGTGGTTCAAGTCCTGGACCTAGTGGCTTGAAAAATCACACCAGGCATGTGCAACCAGACCCAAAAATCCCTATGACAAAAATGTTTAAAAAAAATAAAAAAGAAAGAAAAAGAAAAAGGAAAAGAAAAAAAAAAGGAAAAAAAAAGAACTGTGAAGTAAAATCTGGGACTCTATTGAGCATATTATTCTAAATTAAAATTCAACTCATTAATTCTTTTCATTTTTTCTAAAGCCTAACCATCTCAGGCCTCAATGCAAAGGGAAAAAAAAATCAGCATTAAAAATGTAGTGCTAAATGGACAGCCAGGTGTGGTGGTAGCACATGACTGTGATTCCTGATGAGGTGGGAAGATCACAAACTCAAGGCTAGACAGAGTGATGTAACAGGAGGACAGTTTCAAAAAACAACAAAAGTGGATAAAACATAATTTGCCCAGGAAGTGTCCCCATTCCAGATCCTCAATATCTGTCCTTATATTTGAACACTGGTGAAACTCACATGAAAAGCGTGTTTCAAAACAAATAGCACATATGTATAAAAGGAATGAGTCACATGATGGTAGGCACAGTTTTCTCTTACCTATACTGTTTTTAAATTGGCTCCAAAAATTTTGTTAAAATATATAATTATTATTAGAATTGGCAGTACTGGGGCCAGCAGGTGGTGTGGTGGATAAGGGCACTGGATTCCCACATAGCCAACCATGGTTCAAGTCCCGGACCTGGTGGCTTGCTTTCTCACTTTCCCTTTCTCTCTCTCTCTCTCGTCAAATAAAAATAAAAAACTAACAATAACAAATGAAAATAAATAAATAAATAATTCTTAAAAAAAAAATAACCGGGAGTACTAAAAACAACATATATATAAGGATATAAAATATTTAATGGGACAGACAGGTGGCGTGGTTCCTATGGGCACTGGACTCCCACATGCCCAACTGAGATTTGAGTCCTGGACCTGGTGGCTTGCTTCTTCACTCTCTTTTTCTCACTCTATCCCTCTCTGGTCAAATAAAATAAATAAAGTTAAATAAGATAATTCTAAAAAAAAAAAAAAAAATTGTGAAAAAGTCTATTTAAAAAAAATGTAGTTAAATAGATTTACCAATTATCCACTTGCCCTTAAGAAAACTAATACTCTCCTTGTAAATATTTGGCTGAAAAAAGAAATTTTCTCTGCTTGAGTTATAGCTGAGTTAAAGCAAACCACATCTCTATAACAGGGAAAACATGTAAAACCTAAACATTATGTAATGCTTTAGCTACCATGTACTATAAACTATTTCAACATAACCAAATCTTTCTTAAGAACTCTGCTACAAACCCTTCAAAACTGAATAGAAGCCTACTATAATTAGGACATTTGGATGGTCATATAGTTTTAGTGGTATTTTTATTTTTAAATTTTTTTTTTTTTTAATTTTTGGAGAGATTTCCGCTATAGGGCGCGTGTGCTCGCCAGACAGAGAGAGACAGACAGACAGAAAGCGAGAAATCACCCCCTGGGGGGGATGGTCCCACTGCAATCCCTTCTCCTCTCGGGATCTTGGGCACGCACACGCGCCCAGCGTGAGTTTTAAGCCACCGGGTCCGGGACACAAACCGCGGTCGACTACGTGGGAGTCCGGCGACATAGCCATTACACTAACTGCTGGTTCCCCTAGTGATATTTTTAGAAACACAAATGCTATAGGATTTGAGTTCCAGGTTCATGCTTCAAGATAAAAATGGAGAGAGGACAACAAATAGGTAAATACAGGCAGCAATAAGAAATGTATCTTCAAAAACAAGTATATTTCTCCCCCTGAATTAATTTGGAGTCCACCCATTTGAAATGAAATCACTACACTAATTACTGCTAATTTAGTGGCTACAAAGACATTGCATTTCTACCAAAGCATTTTCAGTCTTCAAGCACCATGTTGCTGGTTTCACATGACATCTCCAAAGGGGGTGAAAAAAGAAAAAACACACAAAGAATACCATAGACAGAATATATATATATATATATGTATATATATACACACATATATATGTATATATATTCCTCTACTCTTGAGCTATGAAATTTCTGTACTTACTGTTGGGATTCCTATGAATGGGAAAAAATATGTAATGCACACATACAAACATATTATACTCTCTTACAAGCCAACTAAAAATGTGCACATCTCCAGGAATATTATGTAATGTTTATATTTGTATCCTACACTACCATATTGTGTTTCCAATTCTTTCTAGATTAAATTTTACCATTTCTGCACCAGTAGAACTTTTTCCACTCATGAAAAGAACTTGAGATACACTGTTTTCTCTGAGAATCCAAAAGGAATCATTGCCAAAAAGTAGATTTTAGGCCAGTAGGTGGCATGGTGGTTAAGACAAATGGATCCCACATGGCTGATGATGGGGGTTCAAGTCCCAGACCTGGAAGCTTGAAAAACATGTTGGGCACATGTGCAAGTATGCCCAAAATCCCAAGAGGAGAAGGGATTACAAAGTGGCCAACCCCCCCAGGGCATGCTTTCTCACTTTCCCTCTCTCTTCCTGTGTCTGTCCAGTGAGCACATGTGCCCTATAGCAAATTAAAAAAAAGAAAAAAGTTTTTACTGAACCATGTCTAGTGTTTTAGCCTCAATGTTCCTGAGGCTAAACCCCACAAAAGCACAAATTCCTAAAATAGCTTAATGGAACTACTCCCAAGAAAACAAATATTCTGAGAATATGCATTAGGCTTTCATAAAAAATAAAAAATAAACTAAGCAATTTTGCAAATGGTACACTTAAGATTTAGGCATTTTATTGTATTAATATATAAATTTCACCTGACACACCTTCAAAAGAAAACCTAAACTCTAATAATAAATCCAAAAATATTTGGAGCTAAATAAACAGATATCTGTAACTTACTTGGAGATAAATCAAAACAAAAGATGGACTAGTGAAGAGATGAATCAATACAAAATTAAAAATATAGGGACCAGCAGTTAGCGTAATGGCTGACCACGGTTCGCATCCTGGACCCGGTGGCTTAAAACTCACTCCAGGAACATGTGCATGCGTGCCCAAGATCCCGAGAGGAGAATGGAGGAGAAGGGATTGCAGCGTGGCCATCCCCCCCAGGGGTGATTTCTCGCTTTCTGTCTCTCTGTCTCTGTCTGTCTGGCGAGCACACGCGCCCTATAACAAAAAACCTCTCCAAAAAAAATGAGGAAAAAAACGCAAAATTAAAAATATATATCAAATATTTATTGTAGAATGTAGGTGGAAAATATATGGTTGTTCGCTACAGGTCTTTCAACCTGTGTTTGAATATTTTTTA